ATATAATGATAATACGGTTTAGAATGAAAATGGCAGGAAAAATACAACCAATCTGTCTAGTGGTAAAAAAAAAACAAAAAACAAAATTACTTTTCAAACAACCCAATATAATAAAAATAGAGCCCTTTGAAGTATTTTTAAATTAAGAAATCTTTTGATTAAGCATATGTGATTCAAGACTGGCCTTTTTTAGTGTTTTGCACTAAATATCATTATATTTATGTCACAAATACTCCAACTGTTATAGAACATCACATTTTACCAAAATATTAAAACAATTCAATTGATATAATGAATTTGGAGAGGAAATGTGCACAAATTTGAAATTGATTCTTTGATTTGTGACACATGCACAAATCCAAATGAATGAATTTGCAGATTAAAATACAGTTGTTAGCTTTTAGCCAATATCAAATATGTAGAGAAGACATTTACTGAATGCAAAATATATTGCAACTTGTCTAAGCTTGTAGTTATAATTTCACTTCAAAATTTTGATGAATTATTTTATTCAGTAACTCTATTTAAAGTTATTTATAGAGTGGACTTCTCTCAAACAAAAATAGAGGTTCAAAATTTAATATAGATGTAGAACATCATGTTTTGAACTTTACTGAAAGGTGATGCAAGTATTACAGTGTTCCAGAAGACACTTCACAGAGATAGTGAATACATCAGTGTGGGTGCAATTAATAATCAATGGAGTTGGGTCTGCAAGTTAGACTATCTATAACAACATAAGAGTGTCAAAAGAAAGTGACTCTACATTTTTGGCAAAGCCTGAAGAAAATGATCTTCAAAGACATTTCTTCTAACCAAAGTGAAATGATCAAGCAGTTAAATCTGAATGTTTCTACCTTTAACCATTTGATTCACAATGAATTAGGCTAGATAACAAGATGGAAAACCAACTTGTTATCTACAAAATAAGTTGTTTTGTTGTTTTGACAACAACAAAACTGTTGTTGTCAAAACAAACACAATGTAGAGATAAACAAGGAGTCTCAGAGACTTGTGCACATGATAGATCATAGATAAATGTTGAACCAGAAAGATGGGACTTTGACAGGGGCGCTCATATACAATTAACCTAAATTAGAAAATCAGAAAGAGGGGAAGAGTTGATGGTCAAAGGACATCATGCTAGATTGTTGGAATTCTAAAATGTCAGAGAAGAAGCGATAATGGAGTAAAATACAAGCACAGGTTTCATAGTTCCATCAACATCTCCCAGTCAGAGTCAAAGAATGGTATCAAATAGACTCTTCAAAACTGATCTTGGTTTTTGTCTGGAGACATCGGAGAGACCAATCGGGAAACAAGACAAGGGAACTAGAACCAATCAAAAGATGAGATTCAAGGGAGAAAACTATAAAAACCTCAAATCTCAAGGTCAAAACAGCGATCTTTGTCCATTGTTATGCATGATAAATCTGTCGCTTCTGCCTTGGACATTCCTGTTGTAACTCAACCTCAACGTTGCCACCCAACTTCAACGAACATGCAACAGGATCGACCACTTCATCATCATTGTCTCTGCCCCAGAGTCATCACGAACCCTCAGCACAGGAATCAACCAACATACCAAACTCTTTACCACCTACAGACTGTGACGAACTATCGAACAACTTCTCAACAATGAACTTCCTGTCAACACCCGTATAAGCAATTATCTACTATAATAAAAGGTTTTTGTAAGGATATGTGGTATCTCTGCCTCCAGCACCATCACTGACATATGAACAGCCCCTAGGTTTTCCTTGATGTGGGATTTTAAGTCCCCGATCTCCACTAGGGTCAGCAAGCTTACAGTTCTTTGTACAAGACTTGCAACAGTGTCAGAAAAACTTGTTATTGCAAGACTGTAAAGAAGGCAGAAAAATTTTTGCCCAAAGAAAGTGTTCTTAGTAAAGTTAATGGTGATTTTGCAATAACAGATTATGGTACTGTACCATTAGTCAAAATACCCAAAATGCCAAAGTTGATACCAATGCCATATGTGAAGGGTTTTGGCTCCCTTACTGGAAAAAGAATTAGATAGTGTATACCAAGGATTATGACAAAATCTGTGAATGATGGCATGGCTTCTTTCTGTACAGTTAAAATTGCTGACCAGACTTTGGAAAGCACTTAGAAAAATGTGCCACAATTACTCCTGAAATTTACACCAAGGTATTCCCAATCATGGAAATAGCATCTAAAATGAAACTGAATATAAAGAGCAGGTATGGCAAATCTTTTCGAGTCCTCATGCCATATAGTAAGCATATTTAACTTTAAAAATGTTTATGCATACCAAAGTTTTAGATTTTGAGTAACTATATTCAAAGAAATGAAGTGACTATGCTTTAATTAGAATAAATGTAAAAGAGCTGATTGAAAAAGGATGATCAGGCGTCAAACCAGAAAAATGGATGAAGAAGACAGGTGATAAATTTAAATTGTATGATTATCGTTACTTGCCAGATGATTTCTTCCGATGTGCCACTAGATTGCCACCCTTGATATAGAACAAACAAAAATGACTCATTGTCATTAGTCACAAACACTATTTATTCATATAAAACTGTATCACAGTTGATCACAATGATTGGAGATAAATAGAAAGGCAGTTGGCAAAAATTAGAGATTTTTCATGAGTTTTGTCTAGACATGTAAAAATTAGCACCATTTTGACCTGTAGACAAATTAGATGTTTGTGACTTGATTTCAAGTAGAGCTAGGTTTATAAGATCCTGGATTGACTAAGTGTCAAGATGTCTAACAAAGTTGTCTGAAAGACAATGCGATTTGGAAGAATTGGAGAAATATTAGCAGGTTTGGCAGGAATCCAAAATGGGCGGTCCTGAAGTTATGCTACTAGCCCAGCTTAAGGTTCGATAATCATTAGGCCTAGAAAATTTCTTAAGAAGAGGAACAAAAGATGAAAATACAACAAGAGCTTCGACCAGACTGCTAGAAGGAGCAAGAGAATTAAAAATACAGCAGAAAGCCTTGTCTGGATTTTGAAGAGGGAGAGAGAAGAACTTTATACTGTATTGGGACAATACAGACTCATTTGCTGGTATATATGTGGAAAATAAAAGACTGACTATTAAATTCAGGTCATAAGGTGCCTTTCTAGCAAATCAGGGCACTGATTAGTAAACAAGACAAGGAGGCCAGCTGATTGAGTCTTCTCTGGATATTTTGAACTTTAAGGAAAGGTTATGATAGCAGTAGAAAGTTTAGTTAGATTTACCAAAAGTACAGTATAATTGAACAACAAAGAAAAGTGCAGCCTGAAGCATGCCCTCGATACTAAGGTTGGTTTTAGTTTTAACTCATTGGCTAAAAGGTGTTCATGGAGTATCAGATAAAACTATGAAAGAATCATATTGACATGGGATATATAGTGAGAAGACAAAAATCTGAATCAGAAATGAAGTGAGGTCAAAAACAGCAAAAAGAGCAGCTCTCTGATGCCTTTGAAGAGAATTTTCCATTCTCTTCAAAGGCATCAGAGAGCTGCTCTTTTTACACTTGATGTAAGAAAAGGTGACAAGAATTTCTGGCCTTTGCTGCCTTCTCATCTTATTACTTATTTTGTAAAGAAGGAAGAAGAGAAAAGTAACTAATGACAAGAAAAGATTTCACTGCAAGGCAAAATTTGATGGTCTGATTACAGTCAAGCCAAAGAGACCATCAGAACCATTTTTCAGTAAAAATGGGTAATAAACCAGATGTTTATGTAACTGAATGCATTGTAAAGAAATCAGTCTCTTACATGCAAAAGCCCTACATAAACAATGAAGGGTACAGTACATTTTTTGGCTTGATCTAGCCTCTGCTCAATGTGCATATCAGATTCAAGCAAAGCTGATTGAGTCCAACATCAATGTTGTGTCCAAAGAGCATTCCTCAAATGTACTCCAACTTAGGTGAATTGAACAAACTTTTGGGCTTATTATAAAGGACTAGTCTATGCTAATATATGGCATGTAAAATCAAGCCATTGGTTGATTAACAAGATGAAGAAAAATTGGCCAAAGTTCCAAACAGCTTTTGGTCAAACTTCATGTCAGGAGTTTATTCTAGGGTTTTCCAATCTGCTGAATGAGGTCATCAGTCCATTTAGGTACTGATGACCTTTTACAGATTTGTTGTCATTACATTATGTTTTCACACTGTCTTATTATTTTGCATTAAATATTGAATAAATTATACTTTGTAATGAATGTGCATATTTTTTTCCTAATACCTTAGTTGTTGTTTAAGATAAAATATTAACAGAAAACACAACCTGCTGTTTTTAATTTATTAACATTGTGCCTATTACAATTATATGTGTACTAAAAGTGTATACAAAATAAACAATATATTGTATATATGTAATAGTCTTTACGGTATATTGCTAATTTGTTTTGTAAAAATACTAGTAGCCTCAAAAAGTTCTTGGAAATTCTCAGGACAATGTAGCACGTTAATCAAATAAATAAAAATTAAATAGCAGCATAGACCTTGTTTATAAATATACGAGTATTATAAGTCCTATTTATAAACTAGGTCTATGTGGATAATATATAAACAAAAAATTGAAATATTTAAGGACATAGAGGCACAAATAATGAAATAGCAGCATTTAGGAGGTATTATTGCAGTCTCCTTACTGTGCACATGCTTATTGACAAGTGGTAGAATAATCCACTGAGGTTTCATTATTGCTCATTGAGAGTGGAATTCTGCAACAGAATATTGCTTCAGGAGCAGTGCAGTAACATTAAATTTTGTGTTTCACTGAACACGACACCAGCAGAAATATTAAACATGTTGAGCGAGTCTTATGATTGATTAGCAATGAAAGTGTTGTTGCTCAAGGACCATACTTTGAAGGGCATGTTTAAATCTCTTTATATGTAATCAATTCCAGAAATGAAAATACATTTGGGAGCTTTTTGATGCTACTGGTATATAGACTGTTATCAAATTGTCATTTTCAAAATATAATTATTATTATTTAGATCCTATGATATGGGACTTTTCTTACTTAAACAATGTGAAATCAGCAGTATTCCAATACCTGAATTTTGTAAAAAGTGGATTAATGTGCGTAAATTGTATAGTAACTTCTACAAAACAACTAGAGTAAGTATCTGTTTTAAAACTTGAGTATTTTTTAAAATTAAGCCAGGACGATTTAATTTACACTAAAGAAAATAACTTTCTCTAGTATACAATACATACATAATGTGGAATTGTCTTATCCCTCATATGTGTGAGAAAGGACAGATTGTATAAAGACACATTATGTATGTATTGTCTACTAGAGTTATTTTCTTTATTGTAAAACTTGAGTAGTTTATTAGAATAATCTTTATAAATTTTTGTGTTACAACTAAATAATAATTATAATAATTAAACGAATATTTTAATATTTATTAAGAAATGGAAAAGTTTTACAAAAACTGTAAAATAAGACAATGTGATCTAAGTGATTTGTTCTTTGATTTATAGCATTGCTTACCAAACTACAGCTCCCTGACCAAATCTGGTTGATGGCACATGTTAATCCAGCCCACAAAATATTTGACACATCGCTTATAAACGGTAGAAATCGGCGTTCTTTATATGCTTGGAATACACATTTTTTTGTAGTCCACCAATCAAAAATTTGGGCACCATTGATTTATAGTGGTGTTAACTAATTATATAACTCCAATTAAAATATTTTTTCTGGGAAATAATGTTTCTAATGTTGTTTTTTAAGGAGTACAATACATCTGTAGGATCAGTCTGAACATATTTACTCTAGCTTTTTCGTAACTGGAAAGTTACTAGTAAAGTCTCAAAATAGTAAATATACTTTTTCTTTCTATTTCAGTTCAGTCTTTTTATTATAATTTTTCCCTACAAGTATAGTTGTAATTTGATTTCTGATCAGACTTCTGTCCATGAGCTTTAAACGAATGGCACAATCAATAGAGTAATAATTCTTATTAATCTAAAATGACCACAATGACAATTATTCACAATTGCTTCAGTGTGCTTTCTCCATATAAACAATAATCTCTGTTAAAAACTGAATAAATATCATGTCTAAACTCTAATTTCAATTCATGATCCTAATGAGTACAATTATATCTTGATATATTTTATTAACATAACCAGATAATTGTAAATGTAAATATCATTATGGCAATGAGTCTAGCATCTTTTTAATAATACTGTAAATTGATTATTATAATAATAAATAATTTTTACTGTTTTAGCTTTGAATTGAGAAGATTTGTATAGTTACATGAATATTAGACATTAATAAAATTCATAGATAACATAATTAGTATTAAAATAGCATTTTTTTATTACAAAAACAATGAAATGGTCATTACTGATCATATTTGCTTTCTGAATTAATTTTATTTTATAAATAAGAAAGAGTTTAGTATTTTTATTGTAATTTTTAGTTATTGTTCATGTTGGCATTTTGAATTTAAAGGAAATATTACAGAAATTAGTTAGATTATCAGATAGAAAATACATTAAACAATTTTATTAATGAATTTTTTTATTTCAATTAGTATGTATTATAAAAATAAATTTCCGAGTAATGATAAGCATGGTAATAAAAGTAACTAGTTATCAGTGGTAACTATTGTTAATTTTTAATTATTTTCTCTTAAGTTGTTTGTGTTAGAATTTCTGTTTATATTTTAGTTCCTTGGAACTTGTAATACTCATGCATGATACAACTAAAATTAAAATAAACCAATGAATTAGTTTGTAAAACCAGTTTCTTCTTTTTAAAATACTTGCTTTATGCTTATAATGATTCATGTAAAAGGAGTTGAGAAAATTTACTTAATTTATTTTTTATGTTGTTTTAAGTTTTATTAGTAGCTGCTATCTTAAACAATAATATAATTTAATTTTAAGAAATATAAATATATTTGAAATTATGAAAGTTATAAATTATTTTTATGCAAGAAAATGCTATTTTGACATTACATTTTAAAAAATTAATTGTAGTGTAATCTAGAAACCATGCTGAAAATCCTTGGTATGACATTTGAAGGACAACATCACTGTGGCCGAGACGACGCTCTTAATATTTCTAAGATCGTAATACAGATGTTACAAGATGGAGCAAAATTTGTTCCAAATGAGCAGCTCTTATGGAAAAGGTAAAGTTGTAGAAAATTGAATTAGTCTTTCAGATATTAGCTACATTCAATATATTTTAAAATATGATGTCATTATTCTCATAAGCCATTGGTTACATCTTTCTTACTCAATATGATGATATAGCAATTTCATTTGTCATTTTTTAGGTTTTGAAATTTATATAATTTTTAAATTTAGTATACTATACTGTATATTTCAGTATTCAACTGTATATTTCAGTACTCAACTGAAATATACAGTAAATATATAAAGAATTGCCTGCTATTTTGAATATAAACAGTTTTATTTTACCATTTTATTTGCAAATGACAATATTATGTTGTAACAAAGTGTTTCTAAATGAGTGGCTGATGTGGCTAAAGAATTACTTTCTGCTTTGTACTTGTAAAATAATATTGGGAGACTTGCTTTTGCTTTTTCATGTGTGTGTATGGAATCCTACAGGGATCAGCTGCAAAGAAGCTTTTATTCATTTGTTACTTGAATTCTATTTTTCCTGATCTTAATTTTACATTTACTGCCTATGCCAATGACTTTAAAATCATGCATTCTGATATACAAGTTTTGCAAGATAACTTGACTATGTTAATGACATCTCAAGTTGTTTAATCTTAAAATTAGTGTTAATAAATCAGTAACTTCATGTTACTTGTTATTAAGAGAGTCTATTATTTGTTTTTTATGAATAAGCAGACCAATATTTATATCCATTCTGGTAATGATTTAGGAATTGTTTTCAATGAAAACCTTACATTAAAAAATCTTATTGATAAACTTGTCAATAAATTAACCATTAGAAGAAAATTTTATGGTGGCATTGTTGTTTGATCTCTTTTATACCTAATCCTGAAATTTTTTCAAATTTTTGGTCAAGTCCAATCTTTGATGGATTTCTGGATATCTGATCAATGGTTGCACCATCTTTGCTTGGGCAAAATTTCAAAAAAACTCAAAAAGATATATTTTCTATTTAATAAATTAGTTCACCTTAAACTGATTCTAGTGAAGAAACATGGGTTAGATTCAGCTTTCTGCAGCATAAATACTCTATAGCATATTCATATCAGTTGTTATTTTACAAATATAGTAAAACCTGTTCAAACCAGAATTGCATGGTATCAAATCTTCCTTAAATCTTTTGGTAGGTATCCATTTTGAACGGGTTTTAATTTTTATAAACTAGAACAGTTAAATATCACATAGTTATGTTCATTTTTTATAGCAAAATTATTTTTACTTACATAAAAAAATGTTTTTACTAAGCTTAATCCAAATGAATTGAAAGTAATTCCAACTAAAGATAGGAGTATTGAATATTCCTATCTTTAGTTGATAAAGATAGGAATAGAATTGAGAACTATTCTATTTAAAAAATTTCTCATTGTTTCCAAAGACTTGTACTGACTATTCAAATGTGAGCTCAAACAACAGCAAATAAGTCAATTTGAAATTAAAACTACATACAATACATATTCTTCCAGCTTAACCTCTGCAATGACTGCAACATCTAGTGGGGACAGCCACTTTGCCTGTCTTTGACCCATGTCTTTCAGCTTGTCAGTTAAAACATGCATAGTTACTTTGAACATAGACTCTTGGATACATTGTGGATCTGATGAAATTATTGTAATGTTTCTATGTAATACATGTAATGAATTCATGTAATACAGCTTCACAAGTATACCTCATGTTTTGTGAAAGTCCTATTCTTATTTCCTGTGAAATGTATAACCACTGCAGAAACAGGAGAATGCGCATTTTGTCTGAATACCACTTGATAGATGCTTTTATATCACTATCACACAGTTGACATATAGTAAGCTTCAGTTACAGTGCTGCTGCTTCATTTGCAGTCTGTAAGCAGGGATGTTGAAAAACATTGTCGGGCCTGGGAAAAACTTGCACTATCTTTCTCTGGTTAATTAGCACACAAAAACAAATTGTGGGATATCCAGGCCCTGTGAATCCCAGGCCTGCAGAATTTTACTCCTTCTCTTCAGCACTGTCTGTACAGATCTTCTGTCATGGGTGTTGGCTCACCCATTTCCCATTTTTCAAACACAAATCTCTCTGTTGTTTTTATTCCACACATACCATTCCAGTATCTCGTGCTGTTTTCTATCATGCAGAATCTCGTGACATCAAGAATTCCTGGTGTTTCTATTGGAAATTTTTGACATGTTCCATCCTATTTCTGAATGTATTACAATAAATGTCTGAAAAATAATTGTTGTCCTCTAGTTTTTGTGCACTCCTTCTCAAAGAGAAGGTTAACAAATCCTTATATATAATCCTTATAACAAATCCTTAAATAAAGAAAGGTTCTTGTGAACATTTTTTAGAATTTGTTCATCCACTTTGAAGCTTTATAATGCCTGTGCCTTTTGTTGAAAATTTCTAAAATTTTAACTCTTGCCAAGAAAGTTATGTTTTTACTACCATTGCTTATTTATGCCTTGTTGTTTTTGTCATAAGGGGTTCTACTTTTGTTAATTTTGGGATGTCGTAATCATATGCTTAACAACATTACATTTGTACAGACAAAATAAATAAGAGACTATTTTTAATTATCATCATCTTTCTTTTTCCATTCTGTCACACAAATATTTAATATTAATTTATATTTGATAAGTTAGAATTTTTCTTTTTTAAAGATAATGGAAAGCAGTGATAATGTGTTTTTACATTTTAGTTTTAATATCTTCAGTATTTTTATGCAATTTATCCAAATAATAATAGTTTTTACTTAATAACCAAACACTCTTTATTGTTGCCGAGAAAATTTAATTAAAACAAACATTTTCAACTTATTCCATAGGCCATCGTCAGGTTTAAAATGGACAATTGGAAGATTTCATTCCACCAGATCGAATACAAATATTCAAATTTCAAAACACTGACAACGGATTAAAAAGATAATATACTAGTAATGTATAAAAAATGTAATAAAAACAAAGAATAAAATAAAAATAAACTCAGAAATACTACTAAATATAAGTATCAACTAATACAATAAAATTAAAGAGTAAATTATGAGTTTCCGGCAGATTTTTTAACAATATACTTCCAGGCCGATGGAAGGCCTTCCGCGTCCCTCGCATTAATACAAGTCTCCTTTAATTTGCTCTTATAAATCTCTATTTTCTCAGCGGTCTTTGCTAATGTTGGGGATCTCACTGGCTTGATAATGTCCGCATCATCCTATTTAACTATCAAACTTTATGCCTGAACCATCTGGGATAGTACCATTGCGTTCGAACTTTTGATGTTATGCTTGTGCTCATTTAGCCTCACACTCAAATTCCTTGTTGTAATGCCGATATAATCTTTCTTAATCCCCAGCTGCGGGTTTTCGTATGGTATCCTATACACACCTGCTTTTTCTTCCTTCCTAATGCTATCTTTGTCATTTCTTAAAATTTTATATAGGTTCGGGGCTTGTTTTAGAAATTATTGTTGAACCTTTGCGGTCTGCAATTTCTTTCATAATGCCTTTGGCATATCTGTTATAAGTGAATTATGTGATTTTACTCGGACCTTGTATTGAGCCAGTTTTTATGCTCTTCTCGCATCGTCTAATAATTCCTGTTATTGTGCCTTTATTGTACCCTAAGGCTTCAGCAACTTGTAGAATTCTGTCAATTTCCTTTGCTCTATCCATAACGTTGTCACAATATAGAAAGGCCCTTCTGATTAGAGCCCGGAATGCTGCCATCTTGTAACAATAAGGATCATTTGATTGCGATGGGATATAAAGCGGACTGTGCATAGGTTTAACGTAAACACTGGTAGATAAATGTCCTTTTCTGAATTGGATGCTGATGCCCAAAAAATGTATTGTTACGGAACTTTTCTGTTCTAATTTCAGTTTTAGGCCGTCGTCGTTACGATTAACAGATTTATGATTAAAAACAGAATGTGAAAAGGTAAACGTTATTTATTAATTATTTATAAATATATTAGTCGAATAAAAATGCACTTTAAAATGGTGTTTCCTCGTTTTATTAATTAAAGACCCAAATAAAACAAATATTTGTGTTTTTCAAATAAATTTTTGTTTGGCTTCTTTATAATAAATGAATTTATCTATTTCTAAGTAAAAATTGAAAGTGTCTGTAGAAGTAATTTTTTAAAATATCCTTTTTCGTAATAAAGTTTTAATACTTATTACTATAATCTAGACATGTTAATTCTTAAATATACATGTATATTTAAGGATTAGGTCGTAAATATATTATATATACTTATGACCCAAAACGCCATGACTCCTTCCAATGTGGCCCAGAGGAACAAGAAGGTTGGACACCCCTGACTTACACAATGAATAGCCCAGATGCAAACCAGATGTTTAGTTTAAAATACACCAAATGTGTGTGTTTTACACTAAAGTAAAGTACAGTTGACCCTCCTATAACACGGTAGATACATTCCGTTTTTATGAAATTGATGTTCTAAGAGTCCTTGAACACATGAGCCATTCACAGCCTAGCACATGTGCAGTTTACGGACTACGGCTGTTTGAAAGGTTTTCTTCCATAAAATTAATCGATTCTAGACTAATTTGACTCAATGTTTCCAAAACACGTATAATTTTTTTGGGAATAATCCATATAAACTATGCTATAAACAAAAAATTGTAGGATTACTTATCGAGTGTGCACCGTTCGACAATGCCATTGCTTAAGCTTGTTTTCGTCGTGGAGCTTGTCATCGAATGGCGCTCGCGTGCTTCCTGATAGATTATTTTTTTTTAGAAAAATTCGCGGAACTTTGGAGACATCATTAATATAAATATAATTTTTATGGACGTTAAGTAATAAATGGTTTTTAGTAGGTCCGCTGCTCATTTAAACTCAACGGTTTGTACAATATCTGCTATTGGTCTAGATTTGACCAATCCTGTCGCGACAGGAGTCAGCGATGATGTTTTATCGAATTATAGGAGTTTTTTTTAGTGTGTTTGTACGAATAGTGTAGCAATTTTTTTGCCATCACATAGGAATCCAAACTATATGAACCCGTATTATAGGGGGTTGACTGTAATGTATTTTGGGGAAAAATCTCTCATCTCTCATAGTGTGTATGAGTATAAGGCATTTCCATATTGTTCTATTAATTAGCATACTGCATGATGATGATGGCTTTTTAATAGAGACATCAGAAATGTGTGCTGCTACATTACATGTCAGGATCAAATTTCAATTTGCATCGTGTTCTTACATTTGGAAAATTTGCAATGGAACTACAATGTATCATTTTTAATGAATTAATCTACTTACTGTAAATGTTGCAGTGGAACTAATGCATCAAATGAATATACTTGTACAATGCTGGAAAGATCTCTTTTATGCCTGGATAAATGTTTAAGTGAACACTGTGTACATCAATATTAGAGAAAGTTGGTAGATAAGATGGAGTACATCTGTAGCAATGAGCAAATATTAAATTTTGTATGAAACTTTAACCTTCAAAAAATTTTTGGATTGTTCCAGGAAGCATTTTGTTTCTGTAGACTTCTATCTGTTTGCTTAAATGAAAGATAATTTGAAAAGTTCCAATTCCCAGCAGTACCACTGTAGCAAAATTTATTAAAGACATTATAAAAAAAAAGAAGTGATTTCCTACTTTAACAAGTGGCATGAATGTTGGCAGAAGTATGTAGCTATAGAAGGAATATACTTTGAAGAAGGAAAGGGTTTGTATGTTGTGTAATAATATTCATACCAAAAAATTCTATTTTTGATTGCACTTCATATATAGCAGAATGTTATTCATAATTTGAATCTGAAGATTACTGAAATATGAAACCAATTTCTTTGTTATCTTTGTTTGTTTTCAGTTCTGAAGAATTCTGAAGTTCTTTTTTGAATTTATATAGTAAACTGTATAAAAACAATAAGAGAAATGTTTTATCTATAAATTATGTAGTTATCAACATATACATACAATCAGTAACCCCTCACTCAAGCTAAATAAATAATTTCTGGAGGAAAGTTAGAAAGTTTAAAATATTAGTTCTGGAAGACACTGTTCCTCAATTCTTCTTCTATTTGAAATGATAATTAAGTAAATTTGTTATCTGGACATCACTAAAGTTCTCAGTTACTTCAAACTTCAGCTATGATTTTCTGAGTTCTTCATTTTATATATGTTACAGTCAAAACCCGTTTTTAGTTAGAACACGTTTTAACTAGTTGAAACTAGTTTATACTGAATGTCTTTGTTAGAACGCGTTTTAACTAGTTGAAACTAGTTTATACTGAATGTCTTTGTTAAAACCCGTTTTGTCTAGTTAAAACTAGTTTTAACTCAAATTCATTTTTGACTAGCAGTAAATTCTAGTTTTAACTAGACAAAACAGGTTTTAACAAACACATCCAGTATAAACTAGTTTTAACTAGTTAAAATGCACCCTAACTAAAAACTGGTTTGAATGCAACGCATAGAGTGATTCGGGGTAAGATGGTAAGCGGGGAAGATGCCTAATTTTTGATATTTTCAAACAGTGACGTCACATTTTGTCATGTATTTGTATGATGAATCGTTGGGCCAATATTGAGTGCGGAAAGCTGTAGTTGGCTACCGTTACTTCACTTTCTACATCCGAGAAGAATAAAAGCTAGATAAGAACGAAGTTTTTGTTGTGAAATGTTTCTAGAATAATTTTAAACTAAAAGTTAAAATGGAATTTATTAAAAATTGCTAAAAACAATTAATGTGTGATGTAGTTAAGGTTCTAAAGTTTCCATTGTCAGCTACCGCCGATCCAGATCGGACATGCTGGAGCATGTGACTCTACTAGGCATCTTACCCCAACAAATGGAAAATATGCCACATTTTTCTTGGGGTAACGTGCCTATTTTTTGTTAATTGATTTCCAATATGCCTATTTTAAATAAACTTTTGTTTTCTCGTTTTATTGCAGGATATGCATAGAAATTATATAAGGACTTCTCAAAAAAGTTTTTGGACTGAAAAAAGCTTTCAGTTAGCTATAGAACACGTTAGAACGGGCGGAAACTTAACAATACTTATACTGTGCTGTTATACTTACTATGAAGTACTTTGTACTACATATGCAATAAATTAAATTTGGTTAAGAAATTCAAAAATTAATTTTAAGCAATTATATTTGTTATCTTACCCTAATGGCATTTGGCATCTCACCCAGATACTTGGGGTGTGAAGCTTAAAATGCCAGACAGTGGAAAAGTCATCATTGCAAACACAGTATAGAATTTTTTAAAATAAACTCCAAACTTTTATTTGAAAGACATACTCCAGAATATGATATTTTCATTAGAGGGCTCCTAAACTCAAATTAGCGCTGTAATCCTCTTCATAAGCAAAATGTTAGGCATCTTCTGCCGAATCACTATACATAACTTTATTTCCCCCAAACATGTTTATGTAGCTAAAATTAGTTTTAACTAATGTTAAAAGTTAAAACTAGTTTTATCTAAAGTCAAAACATGTACAGCAGTAAATTAACTAGACAAAACCGGTTTTGTCTAGTTAAAACTAGAATTTACTGCTAGTCAAAAATAATTTGAGTTAAAACTAGTTTTAACTAGACAAAACTGGTTTTAACAAAGACATTCAGTATAAACTAGTTTCAACTAGTTAAAACGCGTTCTAACTAAAAACAGGTTTTGACTGTAACATATACATTCCCACAGTCCTCTTCTTTACTCTCAAATAAGAATTCTTCTTTAAACTTGGGTTTCTTCAATGTTTTAAAGTGAACTCTTAATTAAATTGTATTGAACTCTCTCCAAAAACTACTTTCTAAAGTCTATTTTGTTTAATATAATTTGTTCCAAAAATTTTGTACACTTTAAAAATCAAAATTGTTCACTTCTGCATATGATAAGTGAAAAATCTTGACAGATGGTGCAAAGTGATAATTTATTTTAAATCAAATTTTTACAGAATATTTTAGAGTAGCTGCTGCTCCGTAGGCATGGTGTATACTATGGGGCAGGTTATGTAAAGATTTTATTTTAATCTAGTAATCTTCTAAATATAAAATATTTTAAATATATGTCATTTCATGAGTTATAAATTATTAAATATATTCAAATTTTATGTTTCAGTTTACCAAGTAAAACATCAAATTCAGGATGTTACGTTGGAAGTGGGCCTATTGCGGGAACACAGAGAAATGTTTCTTCGAGTAATTCCTGTGAACTCGAGACAACCGAATTGATACAGATCAATGATAAACCATTGAATGAAAATTCTTACAAATCAAGTGATATGGTAGAGTCGGTGACAATCGACGAAAATACCAAAGCAGAGGAACAGTCAAATAATGACATTTTAGTAACTGAAAAAAATGAAATGTATAATAAAACTGAATCAGTCAAAGTAATTAGTGAAGCAAATACCGACGAAAAGGAGTCCGTGGACAAAAATAAATGTGTCGAATCGACTTCATTTCACATAAAGATCGAAACGCTCACTACCGATTGTTTGAAAAACAGTAAAGTAGATATTGAAAATCAACTCTGTAGTTTTGATCGAATATTAACTTCTGAGCTGCAAAATTCTTCTGTTGATGACAAACTTGCAGAAGAGTCAAACAACGAAACTTGTGCTAAATCTGATCGAGCATTGCTAGAAATATTTTCTTCTGAAAAAGATTTGGTGATGGAGGATTCAAAGAAAAATCTTGGAAACATCATCAATAATGAAATAAGTAGTATAACAAATCCAAATAAAGAAGAGTTTGAAGGTAAAAGTTGCGAGTCAGAAATCTGTACACGACAACAACTTTCCGAAAGTACAAAAGCAGAGCATCCCGAAAAATCAAAGTTAATCTTCACAAAAGAACATAAAAAAAAATCAATACAAGCACCTCAGGAACATTTACATTGTTTGGGTGATAAGTGGGATGCCATAGAGAAGGAATTAAAAGGCCCAAAGGTGGAGAATGTGTATCAAAGTTAAATAGATTTCCATAAAAGAGTTTCTTTCACAATAATTCACATCTTTATCAAAATAATGACTGATGTGAATTATTTTAAAAATAACAAATTCAATCAGTTGCAAGATATTTGAATAAGCGAAACTTTTAAAATGTCTGCTTGTTTCTGAATTTTTATTCTGGTAAGCAGGATTGTTATTTTCATTTTTCCAATATTCCATCATTTTGCTGGTCCAGCTTGAGTAACTTTTGTTGTTCCTTATTGTTCTAAGCCTGTCATTCTTACTATGTACTCTGGTGAGCAGAAAATTAGCATTGAAGACAATGTAAGCACCATTTTTGAGAATTTGTTTCAAACAGTTCGGTACCTAGTTTATGCGAAATTGTATCATTTTCCAAAACATTTTCGCTTACATAACTGTATAAATATTTTTCTACTCACACAACAAAATTTTTCGTTGATGTGTAAACAAATTACATATAATTGAACAGAAAGACAAATTTGATAAAATATTTATTATATTATCAAAAACTGTATTTTATAAATTATCCAGTCTAAAAATTATCATTACCATTGTTTATTCTTTCATTCTGTTTTTAATTCTCTTTATTATTAAGGAATTGTCGAATTATAACATAACTGTAAAATAGTTTATTTTGCTTTAAATATCTTATTGTTATTAAACATTTTTGAATAAAATATATTTTACTACTGAATTTTTGTTTTTCTATATTTTAAATGTGTTAATTGATAAAGGTTTGTTTTACATAAAATTCTAATTAGCTTGTTGGAATTTAATTTTAATGCCTGATGTATTAATGTTACTATATAGTAAGAAGACAGGTCATGTTTTTACTATAATCTATTTAAATAACAAATTAGGTTATATACATATGACTTTGTAAATAAAGTGACACACAAGAAGCTTCATTTTCATTTCCAAATCAAAATAATTGGACTTGAAGAAGAAATTGTACAGTTTACTTTGATACATGTTTGTTAAATAGGAATTATTTTTAATAACTTTTTATTAGTTGTATTTTCAATATCAATGCAAAAGAACATGGGCAAATACAATATCTTGTGAAGGAATTGAAAAAAAGAGAACAGGTTTGGACCACTGTTGAGAAATGGTAATTGAAGTGAAAGATAATTTTTAACCAATGCTTTATTTATCAAAGTATATGAGTAGCCTTATGGAATACTTTGAAAGAAGTTTGATAAATTCCGTGCCAAACTTTGCTTTGGGCAGCCAATTAGAACTCAAACCCACAATCCATTGGATAAGACACAATATTTTAATCCCAGACACACAAGTTTTGAAATCAGCAGACATACAATTTTATGAATTAAGGTAAATGTTAAGTAAATATTGCATATCTACAAATCTTGTATCAATAGTTACAACTGTTTTAGGTAACTGTCCCTCGAGTTCCAATTAAATTTGTTGAATACATGATACTACGTACATTTTATTTTTCCTTTTTTCATGTTGACTGACATATTCCCACTAATACTAAGATTTACTTTTTGATGAAATTATTTTCTGCCTGTTTCAACTTGAACTAACGATTTTCAAGATGAAGAGGGTTCTTTCGATGATTCAAAACAACTTTGAATATTGATTTATCTTTCTTAAAAGTCCAGTAAAATTATAAAATTGTCATTATTTTTGCCCATGCAGACAATACAAGGCAATTCAGAAAGAATCATCTGATTTCAAATTTTAAAAATTCAAATATAATTATTAATAAGTTTAATATTTCTGAAACGATGAGTTAGTAATAGTGTTTTAAATTGAAGGCATGTAGTGTTTATAATTTGAATTTATGAAGAATTCAAATGGGTAATGCCCATTGCATATCAGGATGCTGCGCAAAAGATTACCGATATGCAGTACGACTGGATGACGGTACAATGCACTTCTCCGACTTGTAATATATTCTGTAGGATGTTTCCTGCCGTTCGCCATTTCCTGGAAGAGAGTGAAAGGTTACCGCGTGTATCTGCAAGTTCAGATGCTATAATCGGGATGTCCAGTTTAAAGAGGAAGTCGGCCTACACTGCAAGACATTCGTTTACAGTATTCGAGCCATCGCAGCAAATATGGGAGGTTTACAAGCGAATCCTGCACAAGAACAAATTATATCTCTTACTTCAGCAGAAGGTGCATGGTTTACAACCAGAGAACTTAATTCATGACAGACGTTCTATCAGTGGTTGTTGCAAGGTTGACCTATCAGTCAACACTGCATTTCTCTAGCAAATACCGTTAATGGACAAGATGTTTACTCTAAAGATGGACTCGACAGCTATATATTGACGAATGTGAATCTACAGTTGCACAGATCATTAGCCATTTAGGTCGATCAAGATGCAGGAAGGGATGGTTGGAGGTGATGTCCTCAGACTATATATCTTAACCAAATATCTTAATGGAAATGCTTAGCTTGATATTTTTAAGTGAGATGCTGCCCAAGTTGTTGGAAAACGTGCCAATGTGGTTTCATCGTGATGGAGCAGCAACTCATTTCTCCTGCAGAATCTGCCACTTCTTGGACACGAATTTTCTCCTACATTAGGTAGGCAGAGGTGGACTTGTGCAATGTGCCAAGTATGTTCACCGGACCCTCGTTAAACTTTTCTGTAGGATTATCTCAAATCACTCGCGTATAAGACCTCTGTCGGCACAGAAAAGTTGGCAGCAAGAATTATTGCAACGTTTGGATAAATTCGAGAGACCCGTGGCATTTGTAATAGGATTTGACTAGGGCAGTCTCAACCTTTAGGTATACTTAGCACGTGACTAGGATCCGCAAAACGTAAAAATAAAAATATGGGAATAATTTTGAGGGAACCCTCTAAGTATATTTAAGGCTATGTATTACTGTTTAGTATCTATCGTACCAGGATCAGGCTTATCAGCTGTAGTGAAAGATTGAAGTGCCAGAGGAACCTGAAAAATTGAAAGGCTAGGATAAAAATAATTTATATCCTTCAACTGTAGCATTACTTAAAATATTTCTCCGCATATAAGAGCACGCTCTTATTTGGTATTTGGGGAGTGAATGAGTTCCAGCCTTTTAGAGTTAGCGCCCGTGGATGGGTGGTAAAATACTAGGGCCGACCGGATGTCGTTTTTCTACGCTTTCATTTATAAAATCCAAAGAAAGTGGAAAAGTTACAGTACTAAGAAACCATAGAAAAGTGCACTTTAACTAAAAAGTGCAACAATACACGTACTATCTTAAACTGTAAAAAGCCAGACAGACGGATGGACGAGGCAATTAACCGGAATCGAACCGGGTGGTAGAAAAATTCCTGGGAAGTTTTTTGGGTAGTCTGTTGTGGATACGTCGACCCCTTTCATCATTCGATCGCTCCGTTATGGACTGGCGTTCAAAGAACGGAAAGAAGAAAAAAACAACTATAAAAACCCTTCAGCATTTTAAGGATATTGCTTTATAAATATTTGATTGCATCTTTAAATTTTTATCAGTTATTCTATTATTCTAAAAGCAGTATTTATTGAATATTTTAGAGTTTGTAAAGTAAAAGCAAATATTTACAACAGATATATAAATACGAGTAAATCCGTTATTTTATAAATTTATTTATACAAAAATGAAGAAAACATAATACATATTATGCATAAGCCTATGAAATAAATCGAAAGGATTAATATAAATTTAAGTTTATCGTTCCAAAATACGGTGATATCAATAAATAAAAACAAGTTTCGATTTGTAAAATTGAATTCTTTTGCCAAAATTCTTTCGAATTGTCTACTATGTAGATCCTTTGGAAAGAAAAAATGCCTTGACAAATTCACCGGAGGGACGATGACAGCTTTATTTCGTTACCATGCTTCAACTTCATTCACTCTCGTCTTTGGTTTAGAGAATTCCGTAATGTGCAACACGATTTCTCGAGTTAACCGGCGTAAAAGGAGTTCATAATTTGTAACGTGTCTATTAATTTCGTGTGCATTTCTTTGCTCATTCGTACGCCATGAATCGTTGCATACTTTTGACTTATTCATCAGCGAAGCTACGAGCCATACCCTTTGCGAAATATTGACGATTTTTAGATTATGCATTTGTCGCCACTGGTAGAATTGCCTTCTGATTCTATTTACCAGAAGTTCGAATTCACGCGTATGTTTTTAATGGGCCAGGTTATAACATTGCCCATGTTATAAGGCGCAAGATTTATTTAATAATAATATTTTAATACAGTTATGTCCAAAAAATAAGTGGCGAAAAATTTAGAACAATCTAGAGAATGAAAACACGGGGGTGTGGTCGAATGTTCCATTAAAGAGTAAGTTGCTGAAAATGTGGAGGTTCCATAAATACAGCAGTAGCGTGGCTTTTTTCTGTGCCGGTTCAACATCCAGGACAGTCTCGTATGGCCGGTATATATAATTTTATAGCCCCACAAATTTGAAAATGACTTCATTTGCGCGGGAATTCCAATAAAGGATACACGTGCGAGTTGGCAGTCGCAAACAACAGGCTAATCCTCTTGGACTTTTCTCCTTTACGTTTGCTCGTGTCTAATCTTCGGAGTATACTATGGCTGTACGCATCGTGAATAGTCGATGATATATTTCGCCCTTGAATTTCTGCAAGAAAATGCTTAATATATTTATAAACGTCCTCGTTCATTTTTGATGCTTGCTTTGTCGTTTGATCGCTTTATTTATTATTTATTGTTTATACTTCATCACTTTCCTCGTCTCATTTCCTTTGAATTTCGTTTTTAATTGTAAATTTATTATTAACATTTTAATTTTGTTTGTTTGCAACCGCTAAGAAATTATGATAGAAAGAAGAGGAAGCCATACAACTTGGGAAAACGTTGAGAATAAGTGCTCTATAGAATAATTATTTTCGGATTAAAATGGGCGATAAATTATATATTTTTTTAGTTAGAATATAAGTGATGGATGATGAATTGATGATAATTTTATTGCTGATGAAACCTCGCTTCTTCGATAGATGGCGCTACTAGATACACCCCTTTTAATTGTAATAATCGTTTTCAATACCTCTGTATAACCGTAAATTTACATTTATTTGTATGCATTACGAGTCGAAAAAATTGAGCATTACAATAATAATATGGAGTGAAAAAGAATATATTTTACTCAATTAAAACACTGAAACAAATAAATCAATGTGTTTTATTGCTTCCCTAACAGAAATCGTAACACGAATTTTATTGTTACGAAACAATATTTATATATAATATACGTAAGTACAATATAGCAATACGTTATATGAAATGTATAAAATATATTTTGTCGGATGTATCGTCGTTGTTTGTTTGTTTATCAGTTGATTATCGTCACTATTTTTTGTTTGTTGTCGTCACAGATTTTGTGTTTATTACGTTGTTATAGCGTTTATGTATTTGGTGTTGTACTGTTCTTGTGTGTGTTTATTGTTTCAATTTGTCTCGTTGTCGTTACTGTCTTTATGTGTACTTGTTGTTATAATTCTTCTGTCTGTTGCTGTTGTTTTGCTAGTGTAATTTATTATTACTATTCTATTTATTGTAAAATATACGTAATATTACAACAACAATGTTATATATTTTTGCTATTGTATTATAAACTATTTTTTGACGTTAT